TGACCGGAATCGAACCTGGGACCCTTCAGTCTGCAGGCCGACGCTCTATCCACTGAGCCAAACCGGTTTCTGCTTCATTTTTTTTTTTTTATATTTGTTTTTAATTGATTTTTATAGCGGAAGGGAATGGGAGAGAGAACCATGAGAGAACAAAACACTGATTGGCCGCCTCCTGCCTGCTTCCCCACCGGGGATTGAGCCTGAAATCTGGACTTGTGCCCTGACCAGAAATCGAACCAACAACTCTTTGGTGCACAGGATGACGCCTAACCAACTGAGCCAAACCAGCCAAACCAACCAGGGCTTGAGTCTTTCATTTTTGAAAGCATAAACATAAAACCACCACTCTTCCTTGCAGTTACTAAAATCCAATAGCCGGACAGTGTTACGCTAATGTGAGTTACAGCCGTGTGGAGAATGCAGTTATAAAACCGTCCATGATACCCCCTCCCTCTCAGACCCTGAGACCAAGGGCAGGCTTTGCCATCTGTTGTCCCTCTAAACGGAATGATTAAGCTCTTTTACACCGAAGCCTGCAACTAAGTATGTCCGAGACCCCCTACGCCACATGCAATACGCAGGATGCAAGACACCTGAAACAGGAAGAATTCTCTCCATCACAAAGCGTAACCAAACTCCACCCTCCAGAAACCGTTAGAACCCTTAGATCCTGTCTTTTCTTTGAGAACATGAGCCTGCGGAATTATCTGTCTTTGATCCAGTTTGGCTTTCTCCTCCCTTCCCATTCATGGAGCATCGCGCAGGATGCTTGCCGGGGCACAATGCTAGCTGGGAAGCATGGGGAAACTGTCCTGGGGACTCTGCACCAAGCGGCTCCCCGGGCCTTCCCCTCCTCACTGCCGTCCACTTCCTATTAGACTCCCCAGGGCTTCGCTAAGCCCCCGGGAGACCACTCCCTCCCAAAGACAGTCTCTACTGCGTCCCTTCAACATCAAAATTAAGAAATCTGATTCACTTAGAGTCAACGTCAACCTCTCGGCAAGGGGAAAGCTTGCCTCTCGTTTTCAGCCTTCAGAAGAGACCCAGGTAACCACCCGCAAGGGCAGGTAAGACGGCACCCACGGGCACCCACCGCAGCAGGGACAGGGTTCCGTTTGCAGCAGCAGCTTTGGGAAAGCGGATTTTATTTCAGTTGCATGACCTCCTTGCACCGACCCTCACCTGCAAACAGGTTTTGTTTTGTTATTTTACTTTGCAAGGTTATTTAAACAATGTTTAAACTTGCCTGCCCATAGTAGGTGTTTGGTCATGGGGATGTTCTTTTTACTTGCTACACACACAGCACTTAGTAATTCGTTTAAAAAAAAAAAACACAAAAAAAAAACAAAACGAGGTGCTGCCAAAACTGGTTTGGCTCAGTGGATAGAGTGTAGGTCTGCGGACTGAAAGGTCCCAGGTTCGATTCCGGTCAGGGGCATGTACGTTGGTTGCGGGCACATCCCCGGTAGGGGGTGTGCAAGAGGCAGCTGGTCGATGTTTCTCTCTCATCGATGTTTCTAGCTCTCTATCTCTCTCCCTTCCTCTCTGTAGAAACATCAATAAAATATATATTTAAAAAAAATATATATATATATTAAAAAAAAAAAAAAGTCAAATCCCAATGTCTGCAAAACTTTGATATGGGCTGCACTATCCGGATCCCTCAGGGTTCTGTGATTCAAGTGGCTAATAGGGCCAGGAACCAAAGAACCCAGGTTTGACCCCACCACTAACATCCACTTTCCCTATATCCAATTTTATAGTTTTTCTAGGTCAACAATGCTTCCCACTGTGCCCATAGACAATAGTTACATCAAAACAGTGGATGGGTGGATAAAGGTGTGAAATATTACCCAGCAATAAAAGAGTTAAATCTTACCATATGCACCCTAGTTGGTTTAGCTCAGTGGGTAGGACATCAGCCTGCAAACGGAAGGGTCCTGAGTTCGATTCCAGTCAAGGGCACATGCCTGAGTTGTGGGTTCAATCCCCAGTAGGAGGTGTGCAGGAGGCAGGAGATCAGTGATTCTCTCATCACTGAAGTTTCTATCTCTCTCCTTCTTCTCTTAATAAAATAAAAAAAAAATTAAATCTTGCCATATGCAACAACGTGGATGAACCTAGAGGGTTTTATGCTAAGTGAGGCAAGTCAGAGAAAAGACAAATAGCGTATGGTTTTACTTACATGTGTAATCTAAAATAAATCAACCAAACACACAAACAAAACAACAATTACGTTTATAGAAGTGTAGATAATGTAAGTTCTGAAACCTGGCATGTGCCCTGACCAGGAATCTAACCGGCAACCCTCAGAAATAAATAGAGACCACAAGGCTGGCTACCAGAGGGGAGGAGAGTGGGGAGATAGGTGGAAAAGGTGAGGGTAATATAGTCAGTAACATTGTGTCAAGTTTGTGGTAACAAATGATTATCAGAATTAATGGATGATCACATTGTAAGGTATAACAATGTCAAATCCCACCGAAATCGATTTGGCTCAGTGGTAGAGCGTCGGTCTGCGGACTGAAAGGTCCCAGGTTCGATTCTGGTCAGGGGCATGTACATTGGTTGCAGGCACATCCCCAGTAGGGGGTGTGCAAGAGACAGCTGGTCAATGTTTCTCTCTCATCGACGTTTCTAGCTCTCTATCTCTCTCCCTGTGTAAAAAATCAATGAAATATATATTTTTTTAAAAAATGTCAATTCCCTTTACTGTCTTCTTAGAACTAAAGTAACCTAATGTATTATTATATACCAACTATACAAAAACAAAGCACCACTGGAAGCATTTTGCTCTTCGTTGCTACAATATTTATCTTATCCACTAGGTTAATTATTGTGTACATCAGTTAAAAACGTGTCCTAACGTCCTCATTTCTCAGTAAAGAGGAACTTTTTTCCTTCCTGGCTAGTTACATTAAGGGTTTACACGGTTATCTGCGAAGGCCACAAACGTGACTTATTCTTAACCGGAGAACACCTTCCAAACAAAGCCACAAAAACAGATGCTTTTATTTTCTAATAAGACTAAATTTATTCAACAACCTAGTAAAAGTTTTGAGTATAAGTATCCAACAGTATAAAAAAGTACAAAACAGATCTGTAGATTTCTAATATATTAATACAAAGTGCATGACTACATACAGTACATCCTACAGGCAAAGAGAGGTGGAAGGGGAAAAGAAGACTGTGGTTGACTGTGTTCTAGTAATAAATAAATAAATACAGAAGTAGAGATGATCCACATTATAGTATATTCTACCACCGATCCTGTAGCCAAAATGTACAAAATAAAAGGGAAAAAAAAAAAGGCCATTTCAAAGTAACTCGGGAGGAAGAGGAGAATGGCTGAGGCTCCTGCAGTACACGGGCTATGGGAGAGCCGCCCAAACCATGGTGCTGTCTGTGCAGACGGTGGCTCGTGGTTTCTCCCAAAGGAATATAAAACTTTACGTTTAGAATAAGAACTATAAAACTACAGGGTGCTCATAAAAAAGTAGCTCCTCATTGTCATTTATACTACCCAATTTTTAAAATCCGGCTTTAAAAATAAGCACTGAGTCGTTTTATTATAAGGTCGGCAAATGGTTCCTCCCTCGTTCCGAAAAGTGTGAACTGGTCATATTCTTCCTGAACTGATAGCAAAGAGGCAACGAGAGGACTTGGGTTTGGGTTCAAGTGACGGGCTTTTTCATAAAAGTTTTTAGAACCGAAGGGCCCCACGTTCAGGATGTAGCATCTAACATCTCCATGTTCAGAAAGCCCAACTACAAAAAGCCAAACCCAAGCCTACCCACTCGCCATTCACACACCTCTTTCCTTTTCCTAGGATTTTGCTTTCATATAGTGGGGTGTGGGGGTGGGGGAGGACCCTAAAACCCTCATACATTAAAACAAGTTGAACAAACACTCTACACAGATAAAACCTTCACAAAGGTCAACCGAAGTAATCCAGAGCTACAACTGAATTGTGTTGATTTTCAATGAAGTCACCGATTTTCAATGAAGTCAGCACGAGCAAAAGTCAATTATTTACACACCCGGCAAGCCCTCTGAGAAACGTGCCCCCCAGGAGCGCCAACCTTTGTTATTTTTACGCTATCCTGAAAGCGTGCACGTTTTTTTCAGATAACTGGACCGTGTTTCACAGAGTGTGTTCTCTACCATGTGGTAAAAATAAAGCTTTGGTACTATTTATATAAGATTGCTTATCCTGAAGACGACATTTCCCCAAGAGAAGCTTTGATTCTGCTTTGAAGTTTCATGTAAATTAAAATCTTCATCAAATAGCACTATGAAGGAGGTGACCCAGAATACAACATATACAGTCCAGTTACCTCTTTGTATCTTTAGAAATGACTCCTTCAAGATAATTTGCACCCGAGGGCTTATTCTGTCCTGCTTAATATTCAGTAGTACAGGTCTGAATCCTCAGAACCTTGGCAAGACCTTAATATTTTAAGATTATTAACAACTACCTCGAGGGGCAAGTCCAGGTGACTGGTATGTGACAAATTTATTATCATGAAGGAAAAACAAGTGTAGTCAGCCATCTTTAAAAATGCCCCAACCACTGCTTCTCGATATAGAAAGACTAAAACTACGTATGTTTATCATACAACAAATCCCATCTCTGTCCCCTGAAGTCCCCCTGGCATCGTTCATGAGAAGGGGATTTAAAAGAAAAAGACGTAAAGAGCACTTTACAGCAGCATTCAGCTTTCCTATGAAATACTCAGCATCTTAAATATTATGTACACGCCTGGTTTTCCTTTCAGTAAGCCAGACACTGGCTTCAGAGCTGGTGGAACTGGTGGAAGTGGAGGGAAAAGTAACCCACTCAGAACTATTCTAGAAACTGTCTTTTGGCAGAAGAGCAGGCATCCGAGAGAAAAACAGGAAGGCCGCTTTGTTGCTGTGTTTTCGGTATTTTTGTTTTTGTTTGTTTGTTTTTTCTAAAATTTCAATCGTTTCCTGTTCCCCTTCGACGTGCACCTCAGTCACCACTCCTGGGTGGCGATGGGCAGAGGCTCGGGGCCGGCCTCCTCGGCCTTCTCTGCTGCCGCCGCCTTCTTGTTGCTGCAGCAGGGCTTGAAGAGGTGCGTGTCGATGAGGACTTCCCCAAAACGGCCTTTATAGATGATCCCACAACATATTTTCTGTCTAAAAGAAAAATGGAGAGAACAAAACATATTAATAAGGCAGAAGAATAGGGATACAAAAAAAAAAAAAATCTCATCAGAATAGCTAGTACAACATGATCCAAAGGGTCTATTTCCTCATTCCAAAAAAGGCTCCTCACCGAAACCGGTTTAGCTCAATGGATAGAGCGTCGGTCTGGGGACTGAAAGGTCCCAGGTTCGATTCCGGTCAAGGGCATGTACCGTGGTTGCGGGCACATCCCCAGTAGAGGGTGTGCAAGAGGCAGCTGGTCGATGATTCTCTCTCATCGATGTTTCTAGCTCTCTATCTCTCTCCCTTCCTCTCTGTAAAAAAATCAATAAAATATATATATATTTTAAAAAAGGGCTCCTACAGCCCGGCCAGTGTGCTCAGTGGTTGAGTGTCGACCTATGAACCAGGAGGTCACAGTTTGATTCCCCTGTCAGGACCCATGCCCAATGTGGGGCGTGCAGGAAGCAGCCGATCAATGATTCTCCTCATCATTTATGTTTCTCTCTCTCTCTCCCTCTCCCTCTCCCTTCCTCTCTGAAATCAATAAAAATATATTTAAAAGGGAGGAGCGGGAGGAGGGGAGAGACACTCCTAGAGAAACCCACTGGCTAGGTAATGGAAGTACCCAGGTCCCATACAGACCACACTGGAATCTTACCAGACATTAAGGGGAAAGAAAGCATTCTGGGAGACAGCAGTCAGTTTCAAAGGCTGCTCCCAAACTTGTAAACTGTTTCCTCCAAAAATCACCAACTCTTAAAGAAAAATAGCCACCATAAATCAGGCTGACACAGCTGGTACTTCTATTATATTTAAATATTTAGATATAAAATATACATAACGGCACTCAAAAAATGAGAACACAAAACACCCATACCTCACATACTATAGTGAAAAAAAATTATCACTTCCTGTGAAGTACCCCAGTTTGCCTGTCTCTAATCCCTCCCTACCCTACCTCATTCTTTCCTCCTCAATTTTAGGTTTTGCACCCCTAAATATATTGCTTAGTTATCTCATTCAGACATACGCATATTATATGTATATAAAATATAATTACTGTATTTTCCGGCGTATAAGACGACCCCCTGATTTTTTTTTTTTTTTTTTACAGTTAAAACGTAGGTTTAGGCCTATATTCGCTGTATGAGACTCTGTGTTCTAGTAAAAAGCCTGCTCGGATTGGCCAGAGTCAGAGAGGCGGTCTATTAAAAAAAGAACTGGTGTTGCCTCGGAAGTGGGGGGTAGTCTCATACAGCGAATATAGGCCTAAACCTACGTTTTAACTGTAAAATTAGGGGGTCGTCTTATACGCCGGAAAAATACGGTATCTTATGTATAAAATCAGATATATATATATATATATATACACACAAGGTGGGACAAGTAGGTTTACTATTGTTATGGAAAATAATACAATAATGCATCCTCACAACTGTAAACCTACTTTTGCCACACCCTATATATAAAATCAGATCACACTGACTTTATGTATAGAATTTATAGAATATAGAAATGTGGAATCACACGGCATGCTATAATTTTTTTGCTCAGCATTAACTGAGGTTCGTACAAAGTAAATAAACTTTGAACAGTATTCCACCATATGAATATACCACAATTTATCCATTCTCCTTTTGATGGGACTGATTTCTGTTATTACAAACATGCTGTACATTATCAGTGCATATATCTAAAGATTTTTTCTAGCCAAAACCAGTTTGGCTCCGTGGATAGAGTGTCGGCCTGTGGACAGAAAGGTCCCAGGTTTGATTACCGTCAAGAACTTGTACCTTGATTTGAGGGCACATCCCCATTGGGGGAGGTGCAAAAGGCAGCTAGCTGATCAATGTTTCTCTCACGGATGTTTCTAACTCTCCCACTCTCTTCCTCTCAGTAAAAAATCAATAAAATATTAAAAAAATAAAAAAAAAGAGAAACACAAACAAACAAACAAATAAATAAATGTTTTTTCCCCCTAGTTTATGTTGTCAGGATGTAGGAATGGGAATATGCTCAATTTTGTTTGAAAATGTCAATGTGGTTCCCTTCTATTCCTATTTTGCTAAGTTTTATTTTAAACCATGAAGGAATGTTCAAATTTATCAAAGACCTTCAACCTATCACTAAGATGACAGGCACTTTTTCTGTTCATTTAGAAACTGTTGGTGTGGCAAATTATATTAGTTGACTTTCTAATGTTTAAAACAATCTTACATCTCTAGGATAATCTAATCTGATCATGACATACTGTTTTGATATCAAAGTTATGTTAGCTCCATAGAATGCTTGGGGCCTATGCCCCCTTTTATCCGAAATCTGGAAAAGCCAGTGCACGATCAGAATCATTTGTTCCTTATGTGTTTGGGAGAACTTGCGTATCTCTGGGCATGGGATTCTTTGAGGGAAAACTTGTAACCACCGAATCAATTTCTTTATTATGAGCTAATCAGGTTTTTTTTATTTTTCCTTGAGACAGTTTTGGTAAGCTGTCTTTCTTACTAATGTATATACTTTACATAAATGTTCAAATGTATCAGCATGCAGTTGTTTATAATATCTTATTGTCTTTTAAATTTCTGCTTTAGCTATGTAGCTAAATCTCCCTTTCCTTAGCTAAAATGCATATGTCTACTGTCTCTTTTTCTTGATCTGCATTATCTCTAGTAATTTTTTTGGTTAGGTCATTTTCAGGAACCAGTTCTTAGCCTTATTGATCCTATCCACTGCATATTGGTTTTCTACTCCATTTATTTTTACTTGTTATATTTAGGATTCCCTTGTTTTTATTTTTTCTTATATTCGGTTTCATTAACCTTTAAATTGGATATATGTCACTTCATTTGCTTTTAGTCTTTCATTTATAAAAAGCATTAGGAGGATAACTTTTCCTCTTTTTACCTCCTTTTTAAAAAAATATATTTTCATTAATTTCAGAGAGGAAAAGAAAAAGAGAGATAGAAACAACAACGATGAGAGATAATCACTGACCGGCTGCCTCCTGCATGTCCCCTTTGGGGGATGGAGCCTGCAACCCAGACATGTGCCCTTCACCGGGAATCGCACCTGGGCCCTCAGTCCACAGGCCAACGATCTATCCACTGAGCCAAACCAGGTAGGGCGCTCTTTTTATCTTTTTAATGTCATACTACCTATTTTGATTTTTCATTTATTTTTTAGTTATGAAGATTTTCTATTTTATATTATATTTTCTTCTTGAAACCATGATTTTTTAATTTACAACTATATGTAGGTTATCTACTTTTGTTTTGTAATCATTAAGTTCCCTGCCCTTCCCTTCTGCTCTCGACATTTTGTACTTATTTTTATTAATTTTTTAGTGGTTACATATTTAATTATTCACGTTCTAAAGTTGTTCACTGTGTTTATTCTCAGCAATGCAAAGGACAAATTATTACACTTTAACTTCTGCTATCACTTCTGTCACCATGACTTATATGTTATTACTATCATATCATTCTTTTTCTTTATCCCACAAGTATTATCATTTTAAGTAATCAGCATTTATTTAAATTTACCTAAGTATCTGCTACTTCCTTTTTTTTTCTTTTTTTCTTTTTTTAAAGAGAGGAAGGAAGAGAGAAGGAAAAGAAAACATCAATTTTTGTTCCACTTTTTTTTTTTAATCCTCACCCAAGAAGTACATTTTTCCCATTGGTTTTTTAGGAGTGGAAGGGAGGGAGGAGAAGAGAAAGAGAGAGGAACATAATGAGACAGAGACATATCAACTGGTTGGGAAGCCCACACACCCGAACTGGAGAGAGGGGCCAGGATCAGAAATGCCGGAGAATCTGCCGAAACCGGTTTGAGAATCTGCCAAAACCGGTTTGGCTCAGTGGATAGAGCTTCGGCCTGCGGACTGAAAGGTCCCGGGTTCTATTCCGGTCAAGGGCATGTACCTTGGTTGCGGGCACATCCCCAGTGGGGGGTGTGCAAGAGATAGCTGATCGATGATTCCCTCTCATTGATGTTTCTAACTCTCTATCCCTCTCTCTTCTTCTCTGTAAAAAAATGAATAAAATATATATATATATTTTTTAAAGAAAAGAAAAGAAAAGAAAAAGAAAAAGAAAAAGAAATGCCAGAGAATCGAATCCATGATGCAAAGGCTGCTGCTTTAAACACGGAGCCACACTGGCCGGGGCTGCTGTTCCACTGTTTATGCATTCATTGGTTGCTTCTTGTATGTGCTCTGACCAGGAATCAAACCTGTAACCTTAATATACCAGGACAACGCCCTCACCAACTGACCTGCCGAGCCAGGGCTATTTGCTATCTTTCATTTTCCTTCCCAGAATTTCGATACGAGGTCTCTTTAACCTGCCGGCTCTGCTGCAGAATGTTCCTTACTGAGGGTCAACTCAGCATCCACTCTCCATCTGTTTCCTACTCAGAAAGCCTTATGCCCTTATTTACAAAGATATTTTAGATACATGTATACAATTCTAGTTTGAGAGTCTTTAACTCTTGGGCCCCCAAAGAAAATAACCTATTGTTTCCTTCATTCACGAGGAGAGCTCAGCTTCGTGTCTGTTGTTCGCCTGAAAGTAATATCTATTTTCTCTCTGCTTAAAGGTCTGTTTTGTCTTTCATGTTCTATAGTTTCACTATGGTGTGTCGATGGGTAAATTTTCTTTACTCATAAGACAATTGCTTTTAACTTGTTAGTCTTCCCGAATCTGTGAACTAGAAAATCCTTAACCACTTTCTCTTGGAATATTTTTCTCTTTTCTAACCTATCATCTTCCTGACTTAGGAGTCCCACATTTACTTAATAGTGACCTTTTTATTCCTTATTAACATGCCCACTTATCAATGCCATTTTTAAAGAATTTAAAAATATGTATTCCAAGCCCTTTTACTTTTGCCAGTGAATGAGTTGGTCAGAATGAATACCTAAGTCTACTCCATTACAGGGAAAATTTAGATTCCCTAACTTGATTTTCATTTTAAGTCATTTTAGCCAAAACTGATTTGGCTCAGTGAATAGGTCCCAAGTTCAATTCCGGTCAAGGGCATATACCTTAGTTGCGGGCACATCCCCAGTAGGGGGTGTGCAAGAGGCAGCTGATCGGTGATTGTTTCTCATCGATGTTTCTCTCTCTCTTCCTTCCTCTGTGTAAAAACTTAATAAAATATATATATTTTTAAAAAGTCATTTTAAATAGGAAAAAAAACACAAAATCCCAACCCTTAGCTCAATTATTGCTTAATCCACCTCCAAGCATGTGTGCTAACAGCCATTTGCTGAATGTCATCTGATTGCTAAGGAAGAGAGAATCCGTTGCCTGTAATTAAGAAAGTAACTTGTTGGTTAGAGAGATATTTTCTATCGCATTTACCTTTTCCAGTATGTGAGATCTAAAAAGGAAAAAACCGGCGTTCTGCTGGAGCCCGAAGCCACCTCTGTATCTGAGCCGTCATCTGACTGATTACTGTAACAAGGAGACTGAGCGGGAGAGGCACTTGAGGTGGTACTGTGAGCATCAGAATCTGCAACAAAGAGAAAACAAATATCATTTCATTATACGCGATTGCAACTAAACCTCAACAACAATAACAAAAGAATTTATTTTTCTAATCACTACTGATACTTGAAGATATTTCTGCTGAAGGGTTTCTGAAAGAACAGGAGAACGTAGCTCCCAGGAAGGGAAGCATAAACATACTTTGCCCTATTCCTCCAGTTTTATTTTATTTTTTAAATATATTTTATTGATTATCCACAGAGAGGAAGGAAGAGGGATAGAGAGCTAGAAACATCGATGAGAGAAAAACATCGACCAGCTGCCTCCTGCACACCCCCTGCCGGGAATGTGCCCGTAACCAATGTACATGCCCTTGACCGGAATTGAACCTGGGACCTTTCAGTCCGCAGACCGACGCTCTATCCACTGAGCCAAACCGGTTTCGGCTGGTCCTCCAGTTTTAATCAGTACAACTGAAAGCCCTGATCGTTACATAAAAAACCGAACCTGAAGACTCTGGAAGTTGGCAACAGCTTAGAAAAGCTTGAGACCCAAGGAAGGTCACGAAAGCAAATTCCCTAGTTTTATGAGCTTTCTTGTTGCCTCATAAATAGCCAACCAAGAAATACCTATGGATGCAGACAATTTCTTTTTTTTTTAAAGCCAACAAAAGTCTGCTCTCACTAAAACCAGAAGACCAGGGAAGGGGAAGCCTAGCAGGCAGGAATCTTCAGTTAGATAATAACTGCTCTGCTCCTGGCAGAAAACGGGCCCAACCCCTCCCACCTCAGCCAAGGCCACATGGGAAGTCTAGGTTTCCATCCTCAGGAGACCGTTACGAGGCAGCCCAACATCTCCACCAGGGGGTATCAGAGGAAGCCTATGGAAGAGTCAGGACTTTCGCTGTGGCCCACCAGAAACACAGTCCTCCCACCCTGTGGGAGCCTCAGCTCCCCACCTCCTAGCTGCAATGGGGAGCTCCCACCTCAATGTCAATGGAGACGAGTGGAGAACTAGAACCACCACCTGGCAGTAACAAGGTGGCATCCCTCCCCCACATCTCCTGCTGGAGGAGTATTTAAAAAAAAAAAAAAAAAAAGTCAGTTAAAACAGAACGTTTTCAATAAGACCCAATTCTCAAAACATAATTCTTAAATTCCAGGTTTCTATCAAAAATCACATAATATCCATTTCCTGGAAGATCTCAAACTGAATGAAAAGGCAGGTAGATGTTAACACCAAAATGACAGAGATGACAAAATTATCTGATGAGAATTTTAAAGTAAATCATGACAAAAATGCTTCCACAAACCATTAGGAACATGCTTGGAACAAATGAAAACAGAGCCTCAGAAAATACCAGGTCTCAGAAGATGACGCTATAAAGAAAAACCAAGTGGAACTGAAATTTGAGCGGAAAATAAGTTCAATAAATGAAATAAAAAAGCTAATTGGATGGGCTCAACAGCAGAATGTAGAGGACAGAGAAAACAATCAGTGAACTGGAAGAACAAACAACAGGAATTGCCCAACCTGAACAACACAGAGAAAACAAACGCACAGAGCCTTAGAGACCTATGGGACTCGAACAAAAAAGCCAACATTCATGTCAGTGCGGTCCTGGGAGGAAGGAGAAAGAGGGCGGAGGTGAAAAAATACTCAAAGAAATATAATGGCTGAAAACTTGCCAAACTTGGCAACAGACAGAAACCTATAGGTTCCAGAAGGTGAACACACCCTAAACAGGATATACCCAAAGAAATCAAAGCCAAGACACATAATTAGCCTTCTGAAAACTAAAGACACAGAAAAATGACGTTACAATAGATCCTGATTTAATAAGTAATAAAGGCAAATTCATCAGATATAAATTAAGTAAAAAGTTTTCAAATAGAGCTTAAAAGTTTTTTGTATTAACAAAAGTTTACATAAAATTAGTTAACTAAAACAAAGAAAGTACCGTCGGTGCTCTGATATGCTCATTCACTTCTAATATGTGAATAGTTTAACTTCATAAGAAGAAGAAAAAAATCCTCACTTCATAAGAAAAAAATAAATAAATATCTCCGGGAGACATCTTTAATATTTTCAACAATAAAGATTTTTTAAAAATCCTACCTAGCCAGTGTGGTTCAGTGGTTAAGCATCGACCTATGAATCAAGAGGTCACAATTCCATTCCTGGTCAAGGCATACGCCCAGGTTGCAGGCTTGATCCCCAGTGTGGGGCATGCAGGAGGCAGCCGATTAATGATTCTCTCTCATCATTGATCTCCCTCTTTGTCTCTGCAATCAGTAAAAAGATATATTTAAATAAAAATACAAAAAAAAAAACCTCACTATACTAGGAAGAGCTTAGTATTTATGAACCATTTGAAAGTGCAAATTATTTGACTATTTTGCACCTACAAAAGTGGCAATTTCATTATGGTTTACTCTAATACTTGTGGTAGTAGGATAGAACTTAATTATATACAAACACGTTTTGTAAAAAAATCTCTCTTCTAGAATGTAGGTCTAGAGAATCTTCAAAGAACTTCAATTTTTTAAAATTTTTATATAGGGTTTGGAAAGGCACAAAGGAGTAATGGGATAGCATGGCATGGCGTAGGCAGATGCACTGAGCAAAACTGTGGAAGCAGAACACCCTGTGCACAGGCAGGCATCTACTCAGTCCAAACATTCTTCTGACCTTCAAGGACTTGCTAGGGATTTTCAACTGTATTCTGAAGCAACCAGAAATCACTGCAGATTTTAGAAAGAAGGATGACAAAAAAAATAGCTAACATTTAGAAAGGAATTTGTTGCATTTTTAAAAACCCTTCTTCATTATCCTTTTTTTCTCAAATTAGGAAATTGTGGTTAAATTAATGGTAAGTGACACCAGGGTCACATATTTATAGGTGTCAAGAACTATAACTCAAATCCAGAGTTTCCAGCCTCAGGTCCACTGCCTTTGGAAAGAATGTCTCAGGAAGAGGCACACACGTCAGGTACAGGCAGGATGCACGGAAGCAACTATAGAGCCTGAGGCAAGGAAACCATGTAGAGGGTGATGTACAAAAACTCAGATATGTCAACACTGTTTGGTATGCTGCATACAGATGCTAGCAATTCACAATGCACCTGGGAAGCCCTGTTTTGCGTCTGAACCTCCAAAACCCACACACCTTTCCTATTCATAGGGACTTATTTTCCAGTTTCCAGCCCCAATCTAAAAATAACTGCACATATTCTCTAAGTAAGGCAAAAGTTAGTCACATATCACTTTCTCTATAATTAAACAAAGGAACTAAGAATATATGTATGAATATAAATCAATTTCTCTAACCACTGTCAAGTGGTATAATAAAATTACTACTTCACAAATGTTTATTAAAACATCTACTGAAGGTGGGAGGATCAATTGGGTTCAATTGATCAATTGGGAGGAGCGGGAGACATCTTTAATACTTTCAACAATAAAGATTTTTTAAAAAGTTGAGAGACTTTTAAACAAGCAAACAAAAACATCTAGTGAGAATGGAGGGTAGAGTTAAAGTTAGTTTTGTGTGTTTTTTTCCTCTTGGAGATAGCTGGTGAAGAAGGGAATTTTTGTAATTAAAGCTTACATACTTAATGCTACCAATATATTTTACTAGAAAGGTACTAAAATATTTTAGTCAAAGATTAAATACAGAGTAGGGCAAAATGAGGTCTACAGTTGTTCTTATGGAAAATAATACAATATTAAACTGTAAAAATATCCAAGGTCCCAAAAAGCAGTTATTTGCGTGATAATTTGGTATGCCCAAAGCCCTCCTCAGCAATGAAAATCCCATACACAGTAACTGAATTAACATGAATTTTTAATATCTGAACCACTGCTTCCATGTTAATATTTTCTTCCATTTTAACCCATGTCCGGGAGCTTGATTATTGGCTCTCTGGTTTTCATTCTTCAATGAGGCATAGAGAACAAGCTGGGAAGTGAGGTGTTTGGGAGATCGTATGTGGCAGAGGGGGTGGGAAGAAGACAGGTGAGCTTTTTTCCTGCTGAAAAACTGCATTTTCTATCTTTCCAGACAAAACAGATGGGTATTCTTTTCATACCATTTTCAACAGTACCTTAAGAAAGTCTTGTTATTTAACAAATATGTCATACATTCAAATTAATAGGAAAGGGTGGTTTTTTCTGTTTTTTTTTTGGGGGGGGGGGGGTTATTGAGTTTTTTTACAGAGAGGAAGAGGGATAGAAACATCGATCAATTGCCTCTTGCACATCCCCTACTGGAATGTGCCCGCAACCAAAGTACACGCCCTTGACCGGAATCAAACCTGGGACCTTTCAGTCCGCAGGCTAACGCTCTATCCACTGAGCCAAACCGGTTTTGGCTAGGAAAGGTTTTATAAAATAGTGTGACTAAAGAAAATGACTATACCAAACCCAGCAAATTGTTAAAAATGTTAAGTGCCAGCATGTTCTAATTGGGGCACTAAATATAGCTCTTATTTCCTACTGGCTTAGAGTACTTGACATAAAGAATGGAGTGCAATGATAATGATATATTCCCACTTGGTCATATAGGACCAGCTTCATACTCAATATATTCACTAATGACTCAAACATCTGTCTATTAGCGTACGCTAGTTGTCCCCCTAGCCCCCTGTTTTTTGGTTAACTGCCATGAGTTAAATGTCTCTTCTATACAACTGATTCATTTATTTTAATGGCTGCCTTTTCATTTTAGTCTTTTCTTGCTTACTGCTACCCATCTATAATATGTAACCAGTAGAAAACAAAATGTGCCATACTTTCTGGTGGAAAGACTTCATCTATAAAGTGAAAAATTTGAAGGTTTGATTGTTGAAAGAAATAGCTTAGAATAAGGCCACCAAAAGCTGGAAATTGCCCCTTTCAAAGGTGCCATTTCGCCAAAACCGGTTTGGCTCAGTGGATAGAACGTCGGTCTGCAGACTGAAGGGTCCCAGGTTTGATTCTGGTCAAGAGCATGTACATTGGTTGTGGGCACATCCCCAGTAGGGGGTGTGCAAGAGGCAGCTGATCAATGTTTCTCTCTCATCGATGTTTCTAGCTCTCTATCCCTCTCTCTTCCTCTCTGTAAAAAAAATAAAAAAAAAAATAAATAAATAAATACATATTTTTTTAAGTGCCATTTTTATGAGGTAAAAATTTAGTGTTTAACAGTTCCTCTGGAAAGAATTACATGTTGTATAAAGGTATATAGTAACCTTATGAAGAAGAGCGTTATTACTGATACAAACCATTGTGAATGGGTGAAATTGTTAAATGTATCATGTTAATAAAGTTTTCATGCACACGCAAAATGTATTCACCAGGTTTCTAGGTGGTAGTCTGCTTTTACTTTGTAATTTGTAGTCCTCAAAAGACTTAAAGACTAACCTTATACTTTAGTTATATAGGTCAGTCTTCTTTATTTTTTCTAAATTCCATCTTAATGTCCAGCGGTAACATACACATACATATATGTTATATATTGAGGCATCTCTACTATGTAAGCAAGAAATAATTGCTCTTTTCATCCTCCTAGCTCCCAAATTGTGAACACCTACACAGAATTCTGATGTAGCAGAAACTAAATACACATTCCTATAACCAAATCATTGCATGTTACTGCCATTCAAAGTGTACCCTGTTCTGTTACATACTGTTTTTAGTGAAAGAATGTGTAATCTTCTAGAACTACATTATGATCTTTGTCTGATAGTTGTTGTTTTTTTCATAATGACAAGGTAGTGTTTAGTTACCACAATAACTAAGGACTGGTAACACCTATTTACCCAAGAGCACCAAGTTAGCAGCAGATCCGGAAAGACTTTGGAGTTCTGGGATATTGGTTATAGTGCCCCAGACAGCAGGTGGTACAGAAAGAGCACGAGCTTTAGACAAACAGGTCAAATTCACCTCTACCACTTACTAAGTGACCTGGGTCAAGGTTAAATTACCACTCCAATGTTCATCTCTAAAACAGCAATCATGGCGATAACAATGTTATGTGACGTGCTGGGTAGGTATACCATTGTGCTCATGTGATGGTAGCTGTCCTTCCTTTCTCAGTCTACCTGGATCAGAAGATTTAACTCTTTTTCCATTGTTTCAAAACAAGCATTGATTGACAATAGTTTGTCTATAGATTTTTTTTTTTAATTCCTAAAAACTCCAATACTGACCCACAGCCCATATCTACAATTCTGAAAAATCTTTGAAAACGGAGTGTATTCCTAACCCATGTGGTCACTCTATCTGGCTTGACCCATACTATAATTAAGGAGCCAAATCTGACTAGCCTATTTTATAGTACAGTTTATTGATTCCACTTACATGAACACTGTGTGAATATCTATTCCATCTATATGAATACCACTTCACTGCAGATACACAAAATGTGTTTGATTTAACAGCACACTGCCTCAGACTTCCCCTGCTAGGGGCAGTGATACAAACGTCACATAAAAGCATTATATGCCCTGCATTTCCTTTTCAAAATCTTAAATCTAAACTCCTACAAACAGAAGTACCACTACAGGTGCCCTACATGCAACAACGACTTCCTATATGAGTTTATGAACTGGGTAGTAACTTGTCATTCCTTTGTCCTTCCCTCACTCCACACAATACACACACACTCCCAAATCCCAAAGTACCGAGGCTGACCTCACCGCATTAGGTGAGTTATGATTTCTACTATTACTCTCCTGGGCTTTAGTCTCAGATCGTCCACTATTTATGTGCCCTCCTGAACATATTCAGGCCTCAACATCCTTACGTATAAAATATCAGGTAAACAAGCTTGAAAAATGTATCTTCTAGGAAACTAAGATATCAGCCAAGACAGCCAAGTGGCCTCAGTACAATATGAAGAAGTGGCTGGTTTGTCAAAGAGTTTTCATGACATCAAAATCAAAGACAGTGTTCCAAGATTCCATAGAAATGATCTCTCTACCAAGTCAACAATCCCCTTCCAATACTCTTAAAAAAAAAAAAGACTCCTATATAGCATATGCCACCTCTGGGCAAAAATAAAAAACAAAACAACTATTCTTGAGTACTTGTGTTTCAGTTTCAAACTTACTATGACGTTTAAATTCCTTCTGTAGTTTGCTGATCTGGTTGCTTTTTATCCTGTTTCCAGATAGCGTTTTCACTTTCTTTGGTTTCAGTGTAGTCTTCAGACTGGGTCCTGCCCTTGCATCTACCACCTGGAAGAAAACACTGAATATTTAATACCATTTTAAAAATGACACCTCTGTATTCCTTTGGTTCAGACAAATGCCTATTTGAAGGAGCCCAATTTCAGAAACACAGTGTTTGAGAGTCGGTGAGAATCTTTTTTTTTTTTTTATCATTACTTGAAATTTAAAAATAGTTTACTTCTAACCATTATGCTGTACACCTGAAATTAATATAAAATAATATTGAATGAAAACTGTAACTGAAAAGTAACATTTTAAAAATAAACAAAAATTACAGCATATCAAGGAAAAATAAAGAATATTTTATATAGTGGCGGGGGGAGGGGTTGTTTTGTTTTTTTTAAAGTAGGTAATAGTAGGAATCTGCTGGACAAAGACTTTAAATAGATTTATATATGGTGAGGATGGCCCATGTAGGTTAAGAAAAAATAAATCTAACAACTATCATTTCTATAGGATGCTTTGTAGCTTATAAAAATCTTTCATATACCTTTGATTTCACCTTTACCACAAAGCAGTAAGGGGGATATTTTTGTTACTCCAATTTTAGAGTGAAGGAAAACAAGAGAAATTAAATTACTTACTTCTCCTAGGCTAGTGAAAAGGGTAGGGTAAGTGGGAGGGGGACAAAACTCAAATGAAGGTGCTCAGGCCTGTGCTGTAAACTCTCTTCACCACCCACCCCTCACCCCTGAGGGCACTTAGTGACAGCAATGGCACGTTCTCCCCCATCTAGCATGGACATGGGCTCAGCTAGTATGGTCCCATTTCTCATGCACTCACCCATATTTACTACTTGCAGATTTCTACCCTTATAATGAAAGGTTGCCATCACCTTCGAAATCAAAATTTGGATATCCTCCAGATGAGGCATTGAAGAAAAACTCATTTTTTAAATTAAATTAACAGACCCTCAGAAACCTACCATAATAATGTAAGTCACCAAAGACTAGTGTAAAGCAAGTTGGGGGGGGGGGGGGAGTAAAAAATAAATAACTGCCTGCTTAAAAACAAATTATTAATAAGTTGTATAAATATCATAAATCTTCTGAAAGCTAGCAAACAGAAGCATTAAGTTAAGTCCCAGTGCTGTTCTGGTCATCAAATATATTTTATGAAGAATTCTAGTGAAATTACAAAGTGAAAGGTCAGAAGAACACATTTATACACCAGTTTGGTCTCAACTAGATTTAAACATAGAGGGTAACAACAGCTTTCATCCAATTGAGTGATTACTATGTTATACTTTGTCTCATTCAGTTCTCACAACCACTCTGAGATAGCTACTATCTTTATGCTCTACAAATAAATGTAACTTGCCCGAAATTCACAACCAGGAGGTGATAAATCCAGGCCTGATTAAAAACCTACAGGCTCATTAGTACCAACAGGAGTTAGGATAAATGTCATCCTGAGAGATTGAAAAAAAGGCTCGTCTGATTAACTCTAGAAATTTCTGGGTTAAACCTAAAAATAAGTGAAATGTATATTGTGAATTTCTGGGGGCAGTGGATACACCTTAGGGAAATGCCACACAACCTATTGTGCTCCCAAACAGGACAAAATTTTAAACAATTTTATCTAAGTGGCAACTGTTTTTCTTTATTCTTTTCATACTTTTCCATCCTAGGAACATTATTACTTCCTACATAGGGGGGAAACCAATATTAACAGGTATAATTAAGAAAGATGACAGGTGCACTAACGTGATTCCAGTTTTTTTTGGATCCTGCTGGCAACTTCTTCCATCTTTTCACAAGCAGGACACAGGCATTACAGATGTCTCCTGAACGTGTCTCATGCAACCTGATAAGAAAACAACCAAGCCTTTATTGGTCTCCTTTACATTAAGGAATTCAAGCATGTACATTCCTTTAAAAAAAAAAGAAGTTCCTAGATGCTATTTCTAATCGCCCGGGATGATCCAGTTTCACTGTTTCTGTCATATATTTAAGAAATATGATTAACTTCCAGATCCAATAAACCAAATTTTCATATGCTGCGAAATAATGTTTTAAAAATTTAATAATAGTAAAATTTAGACCTAGAAGAGATCCTGGTCACCAGGGTTTTAAACAATACTGTCCAATTGATCTTTCTTGAAACAGATATAATGCTTCGTAAGCAACAAAATGCCGTCCTTTAAAATAACGTGTGATGGGTCTGGCTGGGTGGCTCAGTTGGTTGAAGCGCTGTCCCATGCACCAGCAGATTGCAGGCTGAATTCCAGTCAGGGCATGTGCCTACGTTTCTGCTTGCATGTGGGTCAGGGCGAGTGCAGAAAGCAACCAGTAGATGTTTCTCTTTCTCTTTTTTCTTTTCTCTTCTCTTCTCTTTTCTTCTCTTTTCTCTTCTCTTCTCTCTTTCTTCCTCTCTCTCTCTCTCTCTCTCTCTCTCTCTCTCTCTCTCTCTCTCTCTCTCTCTCTCTCTCTCAAAAATAAATAAAAACATGTCCTTGGGAGAGAATTAAAGGAAGGAAAAAAAGTAAAAACAATAAAGGGAAAAAATAATGTGTGATGGTATTCTAGTTTCACAACAAACAAAACCAGAGGAACTATAATTTTAAAGTTATTATGTCCGCTAAAGGAGAAAAATCTATGAAACTAGTCACCAAGTTGTTATATCCCTGAGGAACTTCCATTTATTCCATTTGTCCACATAAGAAAAATACTGATAATATTTATTATGTACACAATTGGAAATGAAGACATTAGGAAGAAATTTAAAAAGGCAAGGTCAGTGAACTCTTTTTGACAACTCTGAAAATAAATACAAAGTCTAGGATTGATAATAAATAATCAACAAATGTTTTGATAAGAAAAACAAAGTGATGAAATTAATTTCTAACATGGGAACTAGTTCAATATTATGTATTTTATTTCATCCAAGGGTTTGTTGGGAAGTAAATTCCACTTCATTAAGCAGTGGATTATTGTCAAAAGATAATGAAGAAAATTTATATCAAAATGCTAAATACCCTGACAGGTTTCAGGGCAGAACATTAAGTCTTATTACTATCCTCAGCAGGTTAGGTTAAAATACATTCCTATAATTTAGAAAAACAATATAAATGACAGAAAACTACTGGAGGATAGCTATAATAAGAGAAAATAAGGGTAATTTTTTAAATCTCTTTATACATATTAAAATTAATGAACAGAAAGGGTTTGTTTGGTTACAACTTTGAAGTGGATTCCAACTATTCAGTAGTTCCTTATAATCTGGGGGGGGGGGGGGGGGGAAGGTAGGCTGTCAGTATGTTAGATTGGTTTTAAGAGCAAGGGCCTTCAAACAGCCTAGATGAGAACATAAGTGATTTTAAATGTTAGCCACATTGTTCCAATCGCCTTGCTGGGAAATATTTCTGTGTGCTGTGACCTATTTCACGCTAAGGATGATACAAACATCAGATGATCTTACCCAAAGCAGCTCTGGAAATCCTTCTCATAGCGTTTACTGTCTGTGAATCGAGAACTGGAGGACTTCGCTCTGCAAATACAGCAGCCTTCTATACTTCGGTACATCTTTGGCTTGTGAAAACCAAACATCTTTTCTTCTAGGCAAGTCTGTAAACCAAGGGAATTGACACAGCTTGGTGGAGGGCTATTAACCAGAAACCACTAAAGGAGAGAGCGCTCTCTGCTCCACCCCACCCCCGGCACTTGGTATTACACAGCCGAGCCGGAGAGCAGGGCTCCGGGGAAGACCTCTCGCATCTCCCTCCACTGGCATGACAAGGGTGTAAAACACCCAGAACAGCCCAGCTATCATATTTAACAAGGCCTCAACCATCTCCTCCTCCTACCTTCCTGGCAAACCCTCATTCTAAAAATAGGGGATAGGAGGCATTAAAAAAAAATAAAAATCAAGTTTTAAGTAGAAAATACAACTCTGTCCACAATCCTATAAAACGATGGATTCTGCCGCAATGAAGGGTGTGCCTTCACATTTAAGCTAAGGCACCACCCTTTACGCTGCACCTCTGCCTTCGTGTGATTCCCCACTGGGGAAGTTCTGAGCATTTGCCATGACCACTAACTGTTTGATACTAAGCACACAAGTCATGCATCGATGCACACAACTTCTGCCCTATGGGACACGACAGGGGATTTCTTCTGTGACAAATGGGAAGTCCTAAACAAGCAAGTTGGCCCTGAATTGAAACTACAGAAAGGAGGATGTAAAATTCACAAAAATCCAGGTAGGCTGTAAGAGCAATGATTTCATAAATCATGAAGATGAGTTAAGAATAAGCTCATTGGTCTGCCTTTCAGTTGTTACAGAGGTTTTAGGAGCTTTTACCAGGCTCTGTGCCTGAGCACAGTAACAGTGATGATGGGAAGGTGTTCAAGAAATGTAGAGTCATGCAAACTGGGATTCCGATGATCCAAAAATTTTAATGTCAAGCAAGGAAGGAAGGAATAGCTCTAGGGCTAGATGCAGCAAAAATGTAGCAGACTAGAAGTAATTTATATTTGTACATTAGAAGTAATTTAAAATATCCAAACCAAGGGCCAGCTTTACCAGAACATCTGGACAAAAAGAGGTGATGAAAAGGCAATGAATCTAGGAATTAAACCCCAAGGGACAAGTCCAGAGGGTGTGGGTGTGTGTAAAAGACCAATTAAAATTATCACAAAAGCATCATAGAAAGTATCAGTTAAATAGATTATTAATACTAATTAGATTTGTACCCATATTTTGGGGACTTGTAACCACAGAACACCATCCTCCTTTTTAAAGTTCTTTTAAAACAAAAACTTCAATATTTGTCTTTGAATATTCTCTTGCCTGACCCCATTCCATTCCAATCCCGGTTACTATACCAGAACAAATATTTAAGGAAGTGATTCAGAGAAATAACCAAATATCCAGGCATTTTGTTTGTGTGTGCATGAAATTGAGGGGTTCTGAAATACAAACAGAGGCTAAGAAAATATTTTATTAGCAATTCATCAGATAAATACTGGAGCTTTCCTTTTAAGTGGAGACTTGTGTTCACCAAAAATTCATTAATGTTTTTGTTGGTGAGGGGCACAGGGAGAGAAGGGAGATGGATGGGGCAGAAGGCCCGTGAGTCATTTCATTAAGTCTAAACAGTTACTTCAATTTAAGAATCGTTAAAACAAGAAAACAAAATATTCTTGGCTGATAATAAATAATTGTTAAATGAAATACTTTGGAATTTTATTGGTTTTTAGAGGGGGAAAAAATGAGGAAGGTGCTCTATACACAGCAGGAAAACAGTGTAGTGAGGCCTGGGAAATAAGGCAGCTATCAAACTAACAACCAGGCTTCATGATAAATGAAAACAAAATGCCCTCCTGGAGAAAATCATTGCTTTGGAAAAAAAAAATGTCAAATGACACAGGATCATAGAAATGTTTTTTTAAACAAAAAGGTCTAAGAAAGTGTAAATTATTGCTTTAACTTGCCTATTCCTGTTTTGCAGGAAAAAAAAAAAAATGAAACACAACTCTCTGATCCTCACACCAACCTTGGGCTCCCAAAGTCCCCTAACCCTCCATATGACCACCATGAAGGTCAAAAGTCCACAAGTTCCTCTTACGGTTGCCAACTCCATCAATAGCCCTGGGAAACTTCAGCCTCCCTTCTCAGCAAGGACAAAGGAAGTCCAGCAGAAAGGCCAGTTCATTCCATGAACACACAGACCAAATCCTATTACAAAAGGCAGATTCCTATCTCTACCCTCACAATCCCCCGTCCTCCCACAAATAAACATGCCATCAGAAACTGCGCTGCATTCCGATCATCTCCAATGTATGAACTACCTTCACCGAGGCTAGATCTGACCACGCAGCCAGTCATCAGGCTGACACGCTGTTAAGGAATGCAGGGGCTCTAGCCTTCTACACGGAGGAAACACTGAGGTTTCCTTTTCATCAGCCGCTCTGGTGAGTGCATCAGTGTGTTCATTTCCGATGATTCCTTTTGGCAGGGGGGTCTCCACACAATGTGCCCAACGGTTCCCCTGCAAGGTACTTCATTCTTCAGTTTGAAGAGTCTTTTTCTTAAGGCATCCGGGAACATAAAATAGCTGGATGTCTTCTGATAGGTCAACCTTTATGCAGCTCTGTGACCTATGTTTTCACTGACAAAAATGCTTCTGTCTAAACATCGGAGGGGGATCTAAATCCTAGGGTTCACCCTCTTCTAGGAAGTGCTACATTCAGTAAAAGTGCCAGAAACACGTGTCCTAATACAACAGACAAGGAAGTAGTGCAAGAACCTTTTAAAGGACAATTATTGAATAAACCCCTTAAAACTTTTCTGAGCTTGTTTCAGTACTTGAGAGGCACCTGGGAATCTGCAGCGAATACACAGGGGTTTCACTTTGGGCTTTGTTTACAGCAACCCCATTGAGTAATGGTTGGCTTTAACCACTCTGAGCTTTAGGGAGCCCAGAAATTTTTTTCACAAAATCTACAGATGCACTAAAGCTTTTTTAAAAAAATTAAACAAACAAACAAACAAAAACAAACACCTACCTGATCTGTGGAAGGAAACCAAGCACACAAAATGGCTCTGAAACCAAGTTACTTTGTTTTGTGTCTGTGTATATATGCACACACCAGATAGATAGATATCATAAATACATAGATAGATAGATAGATAGATAGATAGATAGATAGATAGATAGATAGATAGAGATAGATGATAGATAGATAGATAGATAGATAGATAGATAGATAGATAGATAGATAGATACAGAGAGAGAGAGAGAGAGAGAGAGAGAGAGAGAGAGAGAGAGAGAGAGAGAGAGAGAAAGAAAGGAGGGAAGAGGGAGGGAGGAAGAGAGAGAGAGATAGATATGAGAGTGGTACAACTTGATTGTAAACTTGGGATGTCTGTTATTTCAAGGAACCTATAGTTCTTTAGAATACCTTTTTCCTAGTCTTGCATTTATGCAATATTAAATGATTCCTCCAGAACAATCTATTTTATTTGTTCAAATGGTACTATCAGCTATTAAACTACTCATAACTTTTGCATCTTTCTCACAGCATCCTATCACTCAGCACTATGTTTTAATAGAAGGAAGCTAACACCCTCTGCTTCCTAATTAATGAACAGTTACACATGAGAATGGATCCCATACAATCTCACCCTTATGTGTGTGCTTAGGGAAAGCAGAAGAAAATTAAGCTTTGAGATAAGGCCAAAAATAAGGAAAGTCTTTAAAATGCTGATTAAAAACTGTCATTTGTCTTGTAACATTCAGATAGTGATGATGAGTGCAAAACTCTATAAACATACTAAAAGCCACTGAATTTTACTACTTTAGAGTAAATTTTATGTTATGGTATGTGAATTATTTCTTAATAAGCTTGTGTTTAAAATGAAAATAGACCAAGCTAAGAATTCTTCTTTCTTTATTCATCTTTGTAAACTCAGCATCTAGAATAGTGCCGTCAGTAGATACTCAACTTCTTTGAAAAGCTGTCACTTGTATAACATATCATGTTTTTTGAAGAACTTTCATTGACATTATTATTAATTTTTTGAGGGGGCTACTGTCATCCAGAGAGCTACATAATTTTACTATACTATTACAGTTCAGCCACACTAAAATTGCTGTTCTGTCCAATTTAGTTCAATCTCCCAAAGTTAAAAAGATTACATTTAATAGCCAAATCAGAAAACACCTTATATCGACAACTAAAAGTGAATTTTTAAAATGTAATAATTAATTGGAAACATTTGTTTTGATTGATTTGTTGAGATTTCTTCCACTTTAAAGCTGTAATTTCATAAACATCTAATGACCAACTCAATGAAATGATGGGGAATGTAACCTTAGTGTTGAGACAGGTAAAGGTGTAGTGACCACTTGTATATCACAGATACAAAAGAGACAATTTGAAATTAATCTAATGAGGTTATGAAGCCAAAGATCAGGGTCAATGTCATAAGGTGAGTTTTCTGAGTGTAATACAACATAAGCGGGAAAGAAAAGGAATCTTCACAGCAACAGCCAATACTGAAGGGATATTATTCAAGGAAAAATCTTGTGATAAGTAACTCTAAGCTCAAAGATAGTCTCTTATTCATTTTCAGCCTTAAAAAGAATGTAGCACACAACTACAACATGGGCAGGGAGGGAACTAGCCAAGATATTTTGTCCTGTGCAATAAGCAAGCTGAACAATAGATATAAAGTATAATCCCATGGCATGTTTTTAAAATGAGATCTCAAACTTTAAAAACCTGACATTTAAAAATGGATTTTTAAAAACTGGTAGCTAGTGGTTGCCTCTGGGGGGTGCAAGAATGAAGGAAGTTTACTTTCACTTTACTCCCTTCTATATTGCTTTTTTTTTTTTTTTTTAATACTGCCTTTTTAAAATTCAAGAGTCCAATGACCCAAAACCTTAAGTTACCATCACATCTTGACTTAACTAAAGAGGAACCTGAAAAGGCTTGAACCAACTTCCTCAAAGACCCACAGATATAGAGATACACATTAGGAAATACATTAGGCAGGAGAGAAGATAGAATGGACTAGTAAGATCAGACTAAACAGAGAG